TTTTATCTTGACTTCCGACTTGTGAATCGATTGATTCTTTCCTACCATTTGAGGCACGTTGCATGCTTACTGACTAAATTAAATTACATTTTTATGAATTATAAATTAATGGTCTATTTATCATCGTTGTAACGTGCATGTATATATTTGTATATTTTTGTACAATTTAAATATTGACAATAATTAATATTGTAAATAATTGTAATTCTGATGCAGGACCCCACTGAAAAACACGTAAGTGATGTGGGTATCCTGGATAAATATAATTATTATTATTATTATTATTAAGTCAATACTAAGTATGTAGAAATACTACGTCAGTTTTTCCTCCAATTATCGTTTTAATGGCACCTGCAATGCTACCCCTATCGCAGAACAACTGAACAATCTTCTGATGGGGAGACAAAATCTATATACTGTGATTATCGACATTTTTGTTTAATACGTCAGCTTCAGGTGACACCATTCATTTGCATTGATTAAGATTGTACTCAGTCAGAACTGCAAAACTATATAATAAGAAAGAAATTGTCAGCGTTGTCGAAAAATATAGTATACCCTGAAATGTAGTGACATGTCAGGTGAACATATGAATGAAGGCTGGTAGGATTATTTCATATTATGCTAACAATATTAAACTCATCGCCTTGGCACATCGCCACACAAACAAATCAACTAAAAGTACCTATTTGACTCTTTGTGTAAATATAAAGACAATCAGTGGGCTATTAAAACTGCCGTTAAATTCGTGAAATCATATTGTTTCCATACCTGAAAAGGCTACAAGTTTATTAGTACTTTTGTACTATTACGTACTACCCTCTTGAAATAAAGACTCTAACTAACTAACTAACCTCTATATCCAACACTAAGCAGCAGATCGAAATATAAATGCATTCAAGTACATCGCCAGAAAGAAAGAAATAAAGCTATATATACCCATACCTGAATTATTCAAAATATTGTCGATCGTTCGCATCGTGAAAGCCCAACACACTGCATGCACTGATATCCTGAGAAGAATTATGTGAGCGCAATACAAAATAAGTACTGTTTAATAAACTCGCAGGAGTCTTTTATTAGGTTTAAAGCCACGAGCGCGCAGCTCGAGTGGCTTTAGACTTAATAAAACACGACCTGCGAGTTTATTGAACGGCTTCAAACACGACTACAAATTCAATAGATTTACTGCTTTATTAGTATTCTTTATATAAAAAAATACTATGATGAGGACACGACTACAATAGATACTGCCTTATTAGTATTCTTTATATAAAGAATACTAATTAGGAGTGTTTTATCAGGTTTAAAGCCACTGCACGTGACTTATTATGGTTGACATGATTTGCCAATAAGCTTATGAATTATTAATGAGTGTTTGAAGGTTCCTTAAAAAACTCCCTGAAGCTTAATAATTATTTCCCCGGAATTCCGACATCTTTACAGAGCATTCCTTATGGCACAGGCCATAAGGAACGCAGGCTTTGGTTCGAGATTGACACTAATCGAAATCTCGACTATACGTGCAAAAACTATACATAACTCGGCCAAAGAGACTGGACACAAGTAAACGCAATACTTCATGTCAAGAGTAGTGTGCTGCCCGCCGTCTGACAAAATGTTCGATGACGTTGAGTCGTCGGACTGTATATTGCGATGTCCGATCACTTTGAGTTCAGTTTGGCTTAGAAAAATGTTTCACTGCAAACACAAATTAATATCAGCACAATTTGCATGGGAAAGTCATATATTTGAATCTTGGCAATAAATTTCCAAACCCCACGGTGAAAACCCCGCACATGATTACACATTGCCATTGAAATTTTATACATTACTCTGATTATCCATTTAATAAACAAGCCTGTAGATCTGGACTAGGGTATATTTTGATTTATGTTGGACAAAGTTACAATTAGGTCGGACACCACAAGTCTGACATAGTCTGCACGTAACAAGTTGTTAATATATGTTGGACAAAGTTACAATTAGGTCGGACACCACAAGTCTGACATAGTCTGCATGTGACAAGTTGTTAACAAGTTGATGACAACAAGCTCGTAACAACTTGTTACGAATAGCCTGTATTAGTCTCCTGGGAACAACTTGTAGGAAATCTGTTATCGTCATCAACCTTGTAACCTTTAATCTGATACTCCTAAATCAGCTTACACTCTACTAGGAGATACTTATATATATATATGTATATACATTAACAAAATAACTATGAACTATATATATGAAAAACTTTAAAAGGTAGAAATGAAAAAAAAACAAAAAACAAGGTAAACAAGGTGATAACAACTTGTTCCAGACTTGTCACAACAACTGCGAACAAGCAGTGCGAACACATTTTGACATCGGCTTGCTCTTGTTACGAACAGCCTGTATTAGTCTCGCTGGAACAACTTGTATAGGAAATCTGTTATCGTCATCAATCTTGTAACAAGGTGATAACAACTTGTTCCAGACTTGCCACAACAACTGGGAACAAGCAGTGCGAACACATTCTGATATCGTCTTGACAACAACCTTGTTACAACTTGCATGCAGATCTGTAATAACTTGCCCGATTTTATGTGTGTACTTGCGTTCCATTTCATTCGAATTGCGGTTGTATTTTCGAAGGAATTTTGTTCTATTTCCGTGTGAATTGCGTTTCATGTTCGTTCAACTTAAGGTTACAGGACACCCTTTTTGGCGTTTTGCGGAAAATGGCTACTGCGCGCTCAATATCAGTCCGATTTTCATAAAATTTTCACCAAATGTTCTCCAGTGCATGCAAAATATGGTAAAGTTGTAAAATTAACAAGCAATAAAATAATGTAAGAATTATTCAGGAAAATCTTAAATCGCGGTACCTTTACGCTTTTGAGTTGTGCTCCTGCTGGTTTTAAGTTATATTTATGAAAATATCATTTTTACACAGTAAAATAGTTGTTCTAAAAAATTGTGTTCGGAAATTTTTGTTTATTTCGTCATTCCGCTGATATGGCGATTTCTTTGACGACTGCAATATATTTTTGAATTGTTTGAGTGAATTGCTCTTTATTTTTAAAATATCCAAAATTAAAAAAAAAGCCGAACACAATTTTGAAACTGGCGTATTTAGCTATGCCCTGTGAAAATTTGAGAAAATTTGGTTAAAACCCGCAGGAGCATAACTCGTTTGAAAATCAGTAATTACCGTAAAATTTTTCGTGAGAAAATTGAATTTGAATATTACATTTTCAATGTTTTTCTTATTGCAGCGAAATGTATTTTATTAAATAACTCTGCGAGTTTTCAACATTTTTCGTTCAAACTTGGTCAGATAGTAGAACTAGTCTAATGCTTTCATTGAAACCAATAAAAAAATTTTAGGCAAAATTAACACTCAAAGGTGTTCTGTAACCTTAATTGGTTGTTTACCATTTACATGCAAATTCCGGTGATTTCATATGGAAAGTAAATGGAACAAGCATATTTCGACGGCCCAACCGGAACTTTTCCGGAATGAACGGTTTGTTTGAAAAGGTTGTCCTCTCTTACCGATTGGAACGTTTCAACCGTTGAATTTTGTTCCATTTACATCTTTTTTATTTTTTCACCAGTTCCAGGCTCTTTGCGATTTAATTCAAACCGAATGGGTTTTCCATGTAAATGATAAACAACCCTTCAGTACCTTCTGGTCAGTCACTGTAAATGGAAAGCGCATAATCCGAATGGGATTTTCTATCCGAAATTTTGCTTTCCATTAGCACAATTTCAAACCGGATGGATTTTCCATGTAAATGCAGGTAAACAACACTTCATTGCCTTCGGTCAGTCACTCTAAATGGAAAGCGCATAATCCGAATGGGATTTTCTATCCGAAATTTTGCTTTCCATCAGCACAATTTCAAACCGGATGGATTTTCCATGTAAATGCAGGTAAACAACACTTCATTGCCTTCGGTCAGTCACTCTAAATGGAAAGCGCATAATCCGAATGGGATTTTCTATCCGAAATTTTGCTTTCCATCAGCACAATTTCAAACCGGATGGATTTTCCATGTAAATGCAGGTAAACAACACTTCATTGCCTTCGGTCAGTCACTCTAAATGGAAAGCGCATAATCCGAATGGGATTTTCTATCCGAAATTTTGCTTTCCATTAGCACAATTTCAAACCGGATGGATTTTCCATGTAAATGCAGGTAAACAACACTTCAGTGCCTTCGGTCAGACACTCTAAATGGAAAGCGCATAATCCGAATGGGATTTTCTATCCGAAATTTTGCTTTCCATTAGCACAATTTCAAACCGGATGGATTTTCCATGTAAATGCAGGTAAACAACACTTCAGTGCCTTCGGTCAGTCACTCTAAATGGAAAGCGCATAATCCGAATGGGATTTTCTATCCGAAATTTTGCTTTCCATTAGCACAATTTCAAACCGGATGGATTTTCCATGTAAATGCAGGTAAACAACACTTCAGTGCCTTCGGTCAGTCACTCTAAATGGAAAGCGCATAATCCGAATGGGATTTTCTATCCGAAATTTTGCTTTCCATCAGCACAATTTCAAACCGGATGGATTTTCCATGTAAATGGTAAACAACCCTTGCGTCCCATTTTCTCCTTCCATTTTTTCCATGCGTTCCATTTGCGTTTCAAAACTGCAAGCGCAGTGCTCGGCTATTTCAGAACAGTAGAAAGCAAAAAAGTAAATAATGGTAACAGACCATTGCCCTTAAAAATATTGTATTATATTTCAAATTTAACATAAATATTGCTACAGTTTTTGGGAAATTAGAATAAATATTGAAATGACATAAATGTACACAGTATTTAGAAAATCAGTGTATATATAAATATTGAAATTATTAGTTGCTGTGCTAAGTAGTGTATCAATTACTAGACATGGAGGATCGGATCTTCCGGGTATAATTTAGGCGTTAATTGAAATGAATGAAGAGAACGGCAGTCAGTCTAAAACAGTGACGTGTTACTTGATGAAAGTTTCAAGAATTCTTCTCGTGTTTTTGGATCGTCGCGGAAAACTCCAATCATACAACTGGTGACTGTCGAGCTACCTGGCTTCTGGACACCTCGCATTACCATGCACATGTGACTAGAACAGATTAAAAATACCAAATATAAGTAAAAGTAAGTAGATTACATACATACATACATACATACCAGGGTTCGTACATGTCAGGAAGAGTCAAATTCAAGGACTTTTCAAGGACATTCAAGGTCATGTATCGGCAAATTCAAGGACTAAATACTGAAGAGAAGGCGTTAGAAATCATCAAAATCTGACGTTGAATTGTTCAAAACTTAACTTTATAATGAGGTCAGATATGAACATGCAAAATCAGTTCAACAAAATGTCCGTTTTGAATGTCAAACAATTTCAGAAAATATCCAAAAACTAAAGCAAGAAGAATTCAAGGACATTCAAGTACTTCTTTACAAATTCAAGGACATTCAAGGCCTTGAATTTTTGTTCAAATTCAAGGACATTCAAGGACTTTCAAGTTTTGTACGAACCCTGACATACATGCATCAACTTTATTTAAACACGGAGAATCATGCATGAGTATAATTATTTACAAAAATATTAAAATATTTTAAAAAGGAGCGAAAAGAAATATAGATACTGTTCTACCCGATTGCCGTGTGGGAGTCAGATCGATCATTTATTAAGAAGGCTTCTAAACCTGTCTTAAAAGCAGCGAGAGAGGTTACTGATCTAAGAGATTCTGGCAGGCCATTCCATAAAGAGGCTCCACTGTAACTATAAAGGAGCGTTTCAAATAATCTTTGCGTGGTTTTGGGACATAGAGTTTATCATAAGAATCTCTCAGGTTATAAACACTCTCAGGTTATGAACACTCTCACTAGGAGAGAACATCTCTTGTAAATAGAATGATGTAAGTTTGTTAACATAGTATTAAACATGAGGATTGCCTTTTGCTTTAATCGCTTAGTGGACAATTATTCTCAATTGAGTTTTTCAAGAAGAGAACTTGATGAAATATCATAAGATGAACGGGTAATAACCAAGAGCAACAAGAAGCTCAAATCAGTTTAAGTTTTAAGATAAACGCACTAGCTAGACCCATCACCTTCGTTCATCTTTAGATAAGAAACTCTGCATGTTTGCACGGGCGGTCCTATTCTGTAATTTTTCGCTTTGCTTTTTACCTAGGCCATCCCACACAGGGGCACAATAGGAAAAATAGGGCTCCACCAAACATTGGTAAACTCGAATTGCAGTTTCCCTGGTAATAAAATCTCTCATTCGTTTGAGAGCGCCGACACCCAAAGAGACTTTTTTCGTGATATTAGGTGAGATTAGGTCAGATAGGCGACGTCAGGTTAGGTTAGGTTAGGTTAGGTTAGGTATATAGAGAGTTTGAGCAAGACAACGAAGTACGAAGACGAAGGCATACTTGACAATTTACTGTGTTGGACGTCACTGGTGGTTGCTCAACGTGTCTTCCCATGTGTCGCTGTTTATGAATACTGACCATAATTCTTGCCCTGATCCAGAAAAAAACAGCGAGACATGAAACTATATCCCGTCTTTGTTCTTGTGCCTTCGTTCGGAACGAAGTTCACAACGAATTTTGCCAAAATATTCGTTGTGAACGAAGGCAGAAGAACGAAGACGGGACATGGATTCATGTCTCGCTGTTTTATCCTGATCAGGGTAAGGATTTGGGTCAACATTCATAAACAGCTAGACATGAATCTCTAATCTCTAAAGACAGGCAAAAATTGTCAACACGTCGTCGTCGTCCGACTTCGTTCTCTTGCTCAAACTCTCTAATATGGCAATTAGGTACGGCTGCCTATAGTTTAAGTGGAGGGGGGCTTCTTATTATCCTTACTTGCAGCTAAGAGCTAAGCTGAATTGGGAAGAACACAGCTCAACGTGATCCAGTACAAAGCTTTCTAAGGGCGCATACAGCAGTCACCTTTTAACTCGCTATCACGAAGCACAGCTACGATGGAAGGGTTACTTTTTAGGCAAAATCCTAACCAACCCTGCCAACATTCCCTGCGGGGGGAAACCGGAGTACCCGGACGAAACCCACGACTTTCGGCAGAGTGTTGACTAACTCTTTTCACATGGCTACCGATGTCCCCTATATATGTTTAATAGTTTAGCATAGTGGTATAGTAAGGTATGGTATTAGGTATAGTATGAAAGGCAGGGCCTTCGCTCGAAACGTCGAGTTTCTGCTTGTTTATTTCAGGTAGTAATATAACCACTCAGCACAGCATTTTCACATTGGTACTATACCTACACTGGTACAGACAGTTTAAGCTAAAGAAAGGCAGGCTAGGTTAGGTGAGGTTGTAAATACAGTATGGTATGATGGCAATACTGCAAGCTATGGTAAAATATGGTAACTAATGGAAGACAAGACAAGACAAGACAAAACAGGACAGGACAAGACAGGACAGGACAAGACAAGGCATGACAAGGCATGACATGACATGGCAAGGCAGGGCAGGGCAGGGCAGGGGAGGGCAGGACAGGACAAGAGAAGATAATTGACAAGACAAAGCAAGGTAAAGTAAGGGAAGGCAAAACAAGGCAAGACAAGATGAAACAAGACAAGACAAGGCAGGACAGGTAGGACAGGACAGGGTAGGACAGGACAGGGTAGAACAGGGTAGGGCAGGACAGGGTAGGGTACATTAAGGTAATCATAAGGTAAGGCAACATATAAACGTAACGCAATCGAACGAAAAAATGTGGGGAAAAATAAAAAATCCTGGCCCACTTTAAAATTTACATGACATCACTTACGCTGCTTCAACAATTACTCCGACTCCGGTAGGGTTGATTGCCTTAGCCACGGCTAATGCGATTTGCTTTGTAAGTCGTTCTTGTACTGGAATGACAAAAAACATCATTCGAGGAAATATCACGCGAAAAAGAAATCATATGTTGTAGGGATGTGTCGGACATTTGAACGGTTTATGGAAAACATACGATGTGGATGACTTTGAATGACATGATGTTATGAATAGTCCAAAAAACTGGATACTATTTAATGCTTGATATTGTTCCTTTAAAAATGCGAATGTGCGTCAGATATTCCATCCTAGAGGGCCAGAAGGGGTCATCATCTACCTATACTATCCAGGCTCATGGTTGGTTGATTACATTAACGAAAGACAACAAAACTATAGAAATCGTCTTTCTATAAAGAACAAGTCATGAACGTTTTTGTTTCTGAAAGCCAATCACAAAACATGATCATTTTAGGTAGGTCTTTACCCGCCTATGGAGAGGTGTGGTTATATTTAAAATAGATTGCTTGACTAAAATGTTTAGCTGTATGTTTGCTAAACGTGCAATTATTTTCGCTTTGCATGGTGAGGTCATAATTTCCATCTAGCTTGAAACGTGGTCCTGGAAACCAGAGCCAGATCTACCGTGGGGTGCAGGGGGGTCAGATCCCACCTAGTGGTGTCTACAATCGTGGCAAAAAGTTAATGAAACACCTATAAAAAATCAATAAAACAGACATAGATTCTAAAAAAAATGTGTACAATAGTTCTTCGATGGCAGAGAGCACTATGTGTAGGTTTCTTGCTAATCTTAATCAACATTGGAAGGGGGGAAGAATAAATTAAATTGTTAATCAAACTGGATGTTTCATTAGTTTTTGCCAGGATTGTAGTACCATCCTAAAAAAATCTGCTTGACCATACATTTTCTGCTTTGTAATAAATGCTCGAATAGCAACTCAAATAGTTAGATAGTTAGTTTAATAAAATCGCACTTTTTGCAGTAAAGTTACTGAATTACAAGGTGATTACAAGTGTAAAATAGAGGTATAAATATATATATGAATTAAGATTATAGGAAATCTAACAACAACAGGAATAACTAATCATTTACTATAAGACTACTAGCTATTAAGAAGGAGTTTTTAAATCGTTCGGTTTTGAACTTCGGAACATCAACTGTCCTTTCATTCCTTAGATTATAAAAAGGTATTTTCTTACTTATAGATATAAGATTAAAAAGTTGATGATTAGGGTTCGCCAAGATTTTATTAAAAAAGTTCTCACAAGATTTATTTCTTCTCTCTCGGAGCGTTGATAGTCCGCTCATAACAAGAGAGTCTTCGTATTTAAATCCTGGGTGCGCAATTGAGAGTGCACGCTTTTGAATTCGTTCGATATCGTCATTAAGATACGTTGGCAAGGAATAATTGAACACATTTGAAGCATATTCAAGGACTGGTCGAACACATGTCGTATAAAACTGTATAATATCTCTGGCTGGGACGTTTGCACGTTTTAGCTGAACCAAGAGGTATAAACGCTTACAGCATTTCGATATGATATTATCGATATGGGTATTCCACTATTCCATTTAACTGTCAGATTGAATAGTAAGACCAAGTAATTTTACCTTCCGTACAACTTCTAATGGCTTGTCATGTACAAGTACTGGGGAAAATTCGCTTTTGATTCTCTTCTGGTAATATTGGGATAGTAGCGTTGTGGACTGCAGAGGAGATTGGGCAGTAAGGCTCCCTCATGCACCACCATATTGAGAACCTGCACCCCTCTTTGCAGATGAGGCTAGATCCGCCCTGGTGAATGGTTTGAAAAACTATGGCCCTATAGAGTATTAGCATACCTTGTAATCGCCGACTGTACATTTCTACTATTCTGAAAAAGTAAATAACAAGTAAAAAGTTAAAATTTGAAAATATAAATAGTAAGCCCTGCATGGTCGAAGGAGAGTTGGGAAGCAAGAGTTTGCATGAAAACTCGTGCACGAAAAGTGTGTATAAAAAAAGGAAATCCAAATTTGGCGTGCAATGGCTTAAAAAATATTTGACGAATTCGATTCATGGTTACACTGTTGTAAAGTTCAATCATTTAGCTTTTAAATGATATGTTTTATGTGCAGGGCCGTAGCTAGGAGGTATATAGTCGGGGGGGGCCAAAATTGAAAATAGACGAAAAATTTGAATATCATGTAAGAAAGCAAAGCCACGAATTTAGGTGTTTGCCATCCGAAAATGAAGACGCAGTAATACAATTTACCAACAAAAATACACATATTTTGGCAAAATAGACATTACAGAAGCATGCAGCTGTAGGGAGCTTTTTATGGGGGGCTGAAAACGAGGGCCTTAAAAACGAGTAAAAAAGTTCGCATGCATCTAAACTATAGACTCTATTAATTCTTGAGCAGTTATGTGCTTGTCCCAAGTTGTCAACAAGTTTGGAACAAGCAAGTTGTTAACAACTTGTAACAACCTTGATGATATTGTCAGATTTGTTGCAAAGTTGTTCAAACAAGTCCGACACAGTCATGATCTAAGAATATTGTCACAAACTTGTAATATTCTTGCTATGTCATGATTACATGTATCAGACTTGTCGAAACAACCTAATGTAACAAGTATGATAATGCTGTCGAGTTTGTTACAAGTTGTTAACAGCTTGTTACAAATTTGTTACAATAACTGGGAACAAGCAGTGCGAATACAACTTGTCGACAACCTGTGAACAGGTTTGAAACAACTTGTTTGCAGACCTGTAACAACTTGTGCGTTTTTACGTATGCACACACGTAAAAACGGACAAGTTGTAACAAACCTGCAGCAGACTTGTAGCAATGCTGTTCCAACAACTTGTCAACAGGATGTGTTCGCACTGCTTGTTCCCAGCTTGTTGACAAGTTATATCATGACTGTATCAGACTTGTTAGAATAACCTTGTAACAAGTCTGATAATGCCATCAAGCTTGTTACAAGCTGTAAACAGCTTGTTCCAAACTTGTTCCAAACTTGTTACAACAACAAGCAGTGCGAACACAACTTGTGAACAGGTTTGTAACAACTTGTTTGCAGACCTGTAACAACTTGTGCGTTTTTAAGTGTGATTACTGTGAAGCTATGTAACAACAACGAAAGTATCTGCCCAATGGAAAACGTATATAGCATTCAACTCACCTGGCAATTTTACTGAGCCCTATAACTTTGCCATTCGGAATATAACCTACAGCAACCTACATAAACACAGACAGTACAAATGTTTAGACACTATAAAAACTAGTCAATTAGCCTTTGTCACGAAGGCCAAAATCCGGCATTTTTGGGGTGCTGTCTACCCTCATGAAAGATTCTAGACAATTCAAACAACGTGAAAAGCGACTTTTAAAAGTTGTAACTGTAAAATTTACTATTATACAAACAACTACAAAAGCAACCTCGTACCCAGGGCTAGCCGCGAGTTGAAGGCGGCGACTCGCGACTAGCCCTGGGTACGAGGTTGCTACAAAAGTTGTATCTCGTGTTGCGGAGACTCTCAAACGTGGGAGAGGCACTATCCCAAAAATGGCGGAAAAATCGGCCATGAGAAAGGCTAATTTAATAGGTTGTAAAAATTAAGATTTTGTTGTTGGCGTCTCACTCGATTGAATAATAGTTGAAGGGTATTGTAGTATTTGTCGATGGAAATTATCAAGTGGAAATTTATATACATTTATTAGACCTAAACAGGAACAACTGCAACTATATATGTTCCTGGTAGGAATCAAGAGGATAAAGAAGGGGGGAGGGGGGTAGGCCCTTCCCGATTATGCTAGTAAAACTGGCATATTATGCTCATAGCAATGCTTGTTGTTTCCTAAAATTATGCTCATTTTTCAAAATTATGCGCATTTGGTTGAAAAAATGCTTGGCTTTAATTAGAAGAAATACGCACAAAATAAGGGCCAAGGCACAACAACATGTACTTTTCGTAAACTAAAGCTTCGTGCAAATATTACGTTAACTTTAAAATGTTAAAACTTTACTTAATATCAAAGATAAGCAATTGTTTAACGTGATTATCGGTTGTTGTACTGCAACATTATACTGGCTTGCAAATACTGTAGTCCGCTATGGCACATTCCGCATGTTGCTCGTTAAATGACGATTTGAATCTCGAGAGATTGTTGCGGAAATAGAATAGGAAATATAGTTTTCCTAAGCTCACTGAAACTGCATGAACACCAAAAATATAAATGAAGTTTTGCTTTTAACAACCAAAATGCAGACGAAATTAGCGGAAAAATGCTAAATTATGCTAGCCATTCTTCTTTGAAAAAAATGCAAAAAATATGCTCGTTAAGCCAAATTATGCTGAAAATTATGCTAGCATAATCGGGAAGGGCCTGGGGGGGGGGGGTTACTACCGCTACATCTCGCTAACCTGGTGTGCATGTAATTGGTTAGCTCGGTAAACTACTGTATAATATGGAAGTATTATAGTATATAGTATATTATATATGAAAATACAATGACGTAAACATCGGAATCTGCATGTATAATGAGCTACACAAATAAATCGCTTGATAGCAAATTGAGACGAATTTTATACGTATTTTTAAGCGTTTAACGCATTTTTACACATTTTGCTGGGCTGCCTATGGTAAAAGCAGTCCAGAAAAAGTTTACTTTGTTACATGCTGACTTCTCAAAAATAGTACTCGACATTTACTTCGTTACTTGACATCACTCATATATAGCACGCATATTCTTGCCAGAGTAATGGCGGCCTAGCAAGTAACTGTAGTAAAATGCATTGTGAAATTGACATCGGTGCTACTAAATCCTGTATTTTTATAATTCTGATTTATTTGTCCATTAAACCCCCCGAAAGCGGAAAAATAGAGGATATAGTAGCACGGATGTCAATTTCACAATGCATTTTATTATAGTTCTTGCTAGGCCGCCATTACTCTGGTAAGAACATGCGTGGGTGCCGGCAGCGTCAAAAACATCAAAGGAATGAGCCATCTATTCATTTCCTAATCTATACTGGTAGTATCGCATTTGCCGACAACATTTCAGTCGCTAATTAATATTTTCCCCAAAATTGTTGGCGATCGGGGGGGGGGTGGGGTGGGGGAGGGGGCGAGATCGCAAAATTTTTTCCGCACATACAAAATTTTCTCCGGGCATATAAAATTTTTCTGGACATATCGCAAGTTTTCCGGACGCACAAACCGATCGTCTTTTAACTTTTTGAGAGCAATCGTGCATGTTGACACATGAGATTGACTAAAATAATTATTTCGCAAAGAATCGAAAGATTGCATAATACCACGCATTGGTGTTGCGAGTTTCTCGCGATATCGAGTCCAGAATGCGAGTGGCGATGAAGCGTGGCGCCATTGTAACAAACTAAAGTATAGTCATAGTTTTTATTTGAGCATTTGGACTTATTCATTTTTATAGAGATACAGTGTAGACATGATTTATTGATTTCATGACCTCATTCACTAACTTGACCACTTGAGTTCAATTATTTGTTTCTAAACTTTCTATAAATATAAATAAATAAATAAATGTTCCCAGTATTAGCACTTAATTTCTTCAAGTGCAGCACTAGCTAGTTTAGCTACATGCCTACATATGACTTTTGCATGTCCTATTTACTATTTCTCTATTAGTCACTATTATTTTAGTAATTAGTATGGAACCAAATATACCGATGCTTGTTTTGGTGACCGATACATTTTATTTTGTGACAGGCACAATTTCATTGATGCTGGTCATTGTGACAGGCAGGGCACAAAAAATTATATTCAGGCTTGTTCGCAACCAAACTTTGCAATTTTACTAATTCTAGTATGCTCTTGCCGGGAATATACTTTTCGTTGCCAAGATAAAAAAGTAGTCAAAAATGGGAAATGTCTATTGTTTAGTATCTATACTATAAAGATAGTTGGATCCCTTTCTCTTGATGGCTCCTCCTGCACTGACAAATTCTTAAAAGAGGCTCTGGGATTGAGTGTCTTTCATTAGCACATTCGCTTTCAATAACACTATATATTGAGTATTCTACTATATATGACTGTAAAACAATAAATATGTTATATGGTACAAGATATATGTTACAAAAAAAACCCTGACAAAAAGACAAGACAATTGACACAATTAGTAGATATGTTCCCTGTAATTAGTTTAAATATAACTAAAGATAGGACAAAGCCACTAAATGGGCCCTAAACTATACAAATTTATACATACACTTTACACACTGCAAACTTCAACCTCAACAGGTTGGAACATGCATGGTGACTGGTTATACATTGCCCTGTTTAGTCTATCTCATGCAGTCTGTGCTAAATGGCATAAGATCAGGCCTGAATATAATTTTTTGTGCCCTGCTTGTCACAATGACCAGCATCAATGAAATTGTGCCTGTCACAAAATAAAATGTATCGGTCACCAAAACAAGCATCGGTATATTTGGTTCCATACTAATTACTAAAATAATAGTGACTAATAGAGTAATAGTAAATAGGACATGCAAAAGTCATATGTAGGCATGTAGCTAGACTAGCTAGTGCTGCAGTTGAAGAAATTAAGTGCTAATACTGGGAACATTTATTTATTTATTTATATTTATAGAAAGTTTAGAAACAAATAATTGAACTCAAGTGGTCAAGTTAGTGAATGAGGTCATGAAATCAATAAATCATGTCTATCTCTATAAAAATGAATAAGTCCAAATGCTCAAATAATAACTATGACTATACTTTAGTTTGTTACAATGGCGCCACGCTTCATCGCCACTCGCATTCTGGACTCGATATCGCGAGAAACTCGCAACACCAATGCGTGGTATTATGCAATCTTTCGATTCTTTGCGAAATAATTATTTTAGTCAATCTCATGTGTCAACATGCACGATTGCTCTCAAAAAGTTAAAAGACGATCGGTTTAAGGTTCCTTGTCCCAAAATGGACAATGATTTTTGCCAAACCATGTACCGGACAGAGTGACCGACGCAATCGAAATAGTACCTGTCAAAACGGTTGAAATTGCGGATTTGTATACCGGACAATGTCCGTGACCGGCCGCTTCGGAAATTCAAAATATACCTGTATGTATATGAAAGTGGGGTAATTTGCAGCACATGTTCTGTTACCAACCAAGTATATTTCACTGATCCTAATTTCCAAAAGTCATTTAACTCCTTAAGTGCATGGCAATGTGCCTTTGATGCTCCCTATTTCATTATTTCACTGTATCTAATGCGCCAGACGATATTACTTGTCAAGAAAGAGGGTTGCCTCTCCATAGGTAACCAAACTATCTGCCTATGCATCCCGTTATACCCTTCGCGTGGCAATTATTTTACTGACTGTCTAACACCAGAGGCCCACAGCACTTGACTGTAGAAATTTCTGATCAGTAATGCTATCTGGTACAATACCTTTCCTAGAAATGGGACCAGATGATGTTCACACATTGAGAACATGTTAATATCTTTGACAATGACCAGTTCATCATGACCCTCATTGAATACTGCATCATTGATGATTTCTAAAAAACAAAATAATCATTCAGTAACTCTGCCTCAATGTACCTAGGTATTCACTAGGTGCATGGGCTACAATAATATATATATATATATATATATATATATATATATATATATATATATATATATATATATATATATATATATATATATATATATATATATATATATATATATATATATATATATATATATATATATATATATATATACATGAACATGTGGTTAGCTCTCGGAGTTAGGGATGGCAGTCAATGACATTTCACATTAGTGATATTTTGAGATTTCAAACCAAAGCCGGATTTTGGCGGAAATGGTGGGGGAGGTGGAAAAAAATTTAGGGGAGGTGTTGTGGTCTAGGTTACGGTCCCCATGAAATATTTAGAGCTTAGAAAGTACCCCCATACTAATATATTATTATGCATGTACTGTGCATATATATATCAGAGTATCAGACTGAGTGTATTTATGTCCGATTCATCCAATTTTGCCCTTCATTACCAGTACAAAGCTTCTTTCACACATTTGCATTAAAATGGTCACATTTGTCAAAGTGTCATTTTGATCTATCATTTAACGTTTCCAAAGGGGAGGTGCATGAATCTTCAGGGGCGGTGGATGAATCTTCAGGAGAGGTGCAAAAAATCTCAGGGCAGGTGCAAATGATCTCTGGGGAGGTGTGCACCTCCCCTCAAAATCCGGCCATGTTTCAAACAAGAATGGCTGTCGCCATCATTCGCCATCTGTAACAGATGTTGCTTGCTTATAACCCATTGAGTTGCATGATTGTGCCCAATGTACCCTACGTTATTATTTTACTGCCCAATTGTCTTCGACTTAACCCATTAAGTTGCATTGCACCTCCAAATTATTGCACCATACGTTATTATTTTACTCCGTCTAATGTCAGACAATTTTACTTGCACTGGGTTCAAATTAGTTGAGAAAAAATGATGTGCAACTTTTTTTTAAAATGTGGCTCTAAATTTATTTAAAATAGGTTCATGATACAATCAAACATTCACTCAATCAAACTGCAATATTGAACACTTTTTAACCCATTTCGTGCCAGCATGCACCAGAGTTGTTAACGAGTCCTATGTTGCAAGTTCAAGTCAAGTCACAAGTCATTTGGTCTGCAAGTTCAAGTCAAGTCACAAGTCATTTTGTCTTTCAAGTCAAGTCACAAGTCATTTTCAATTCAAGTCAAGTCACAAGTCATTCCGAGTGGCAAGTCAATTCAAGTCAAGTCACAAGTCATTTTATCGCCACATGTGGGCCATGTTATCCCACGCAAAACGGCAAAATATGTAAATATGGCGTCGTTATTTTATGTCAGAAATTTTACCAAGAAATCGCGAAAAAAACCCCGCTTTGTCAGAAAATACGCCGGCCAAAATTCTGTCGATGCCATTAATATGTACCACCCATAGATATAGGTCTCCTATATCTATGGTACCACCCTGGCCGCCATCTTCCTAGCCAGTCGATTACATTTTCTGGCCAATAAACGCGCTGTATTGGCTGGCCGCCATCTTCCTGGCCAGTCAATTGCATATTTTTGCATAGAAAAATGGTGACATGTTGCACCGCTGAGCGGCCCTTCTGGTACTGATCTTTATTCTTTGCCAAGGTCGTTGCGGCGTTGCCCAAATTGTATATACAACACGACGATCGATTGATCAACACAAAGATTTTGGAAAACTTGGTTTTCGCTAGATATTTACATTTGACTTGCTTAACACATATAACATTTATCAGTCATGTCTTTGTCTGTCATGGTGGCCAAGATTTGACACTTTCCAGTCAGCAAACATGCTGCTAGTGTGCATGCATACAAAAGCACTTGTTTATATTATAGGATTTATAGGACATGTCAAATTAATCCATTGAGCCGCAATGTACCCCAGTGCGCCCTACTTTTTTTTTACTTGTCAAACGCCAGAAGATTTTACTCATCAAAGGGAATATCTGCGGCTTAATGCCAATAATGGGTTAATTAATAGTTCCAAGTCTGACTTTTTTGCACATCGTTTGGAAAAGTGATGAAAAGTGAAATTCTCACTATTTGATCCAGAATGATGTGCAAATTGCACATTGTTAATTCGAATGCTGTTTACTCGTCAAATGGAGAGTGGCCTGGTGCTCAACAGGTTAATCTGTTATTTTGCAAGAAGAATCTCAGCAACTGTCCCAAAATGGCCCTATTATATATTGGATAGCTGTAATGCTGATCTATATAATTCTGGAGGTCCAGGAAGGAACATGCACACATCATTGGTCCAGTGCCATTACAGGTCATAAACCATAGTTTATACCAAATCAGATTAGTCTATAGCAAAAATTTAATGACGCTTGGACATTCAGGATGCAATCAAGTCACAGTGTTTTGAAAATTTTTGATTTTACAATAGATTTGTATGGAATTTCTGCTACAATGATCACAGAATTTTCACAAAAACATCATGACATTTTTTACTTCTGGTGTCCATTTCTGTCAAATATGAAATATTGATAAATACAAACTTGGATCAGAGACCTGTCTCAGTCACCAGGATTTAAAGTGTTGGTCGGTCACAGACATTGTCAATATAAGAGAGGAAACCACCGGACAGTCTATCCGACCTAAGTCAAACTGAGGTTTTAATATTGTTTGTCAGGCCTGAGTGTACTGGGGTCCAACCTAACTGCAACTCTGTCCAACATAAATCAAAATGTACCCTATAATCCAAGACTAGAGGCTTGTATGTTAAATGGAGAATCAGATTATAATGCAGACCTGCCAAGTTCGGAAGATAGGAATGTGTGACATCTCACAGCTTGGCTTCTCTAACGGTATTGCTAATAACAATATGTAAGATTTGACCAAGACTGGCTCAGGAATTGTCCATACTCATAGGTGAAATTGGGCTAAAATATTTGCCGTAGTGCTGTATAAAAACATGAATTTCTTGCTGAAAAATTAAGATATGTGGAATTGTGTGACCTTAAGGCAATTTTCGGCATGTGTGCGGAACTGCGGAACCAAAATTTAAAAGCGTGACTTTCAGGGCAAATGCGGCGGGGCACTTGGCAGCTCTGATATTGAACTGGAAATGTGCAATCCTGAAAGCGAGGGCTTTCCACAATGGGGTTTGGAAATTCATTGCCGAGATTCAAATGACTTTTCCAAATTGTGAAAATCGATATTAATTTGTGTTGGCATTCATACTTATTTCCAAGCCAAACTGAACTCAAATTCGTGCCGAACATCATAATACATATGTCAAACTCAAACTCAAAGTCATCGAACATTTTCCCCAGACAGTTCTCTGACCGATATCTTAAGACACACACAAATGTACCAGAATCATAACCAGATGTTGAGATTGACAACCACTGCAAACCCCAAACCCCCTCCTCCCCACACACCCGACACTATAGAAGAGGGGCCTGTACCGGTTTTGCGGGATGCATCTAAAATTCAAGTGGGAATCGGCATTTTAAGAGAAATATTGGTGGGAAGCGGGATTTTATTCCATCGCGGGAAGTGGGATTAATAAAAATACCATGGCGATATGCGGGAAGTAACCCACGATAAGCGGGATAACCGGATAAATCAACAAAACTTGTAGCCGTACTTTAGCTGACTGTTGTCATTTGTTTGTGTGCTTGAAATTTACTGTTTTCAAGGATGATATCGAACATTTGTCCCCCATCAATCCTCCATTCACATGTGTTAGAAAAAAAGAACAGTGTCAGAAAAAACGTCGGGAGCGAGAAATTGGGATGAGGCATGGCGGGATAACGGGATTTGAAGTGAAAATTGGTCGGGATTTCGGAACCCGGTACAGGCCCCTCTATAGAAGAGCTGTATTGGGGACAAGTAAAATCCCCAGGGTCAGGGGCAATGCCTTAATTCAACATGCCTAGATGGTTGTGCTCAAAATGTGCATTTAGAACTAAAAAACGAACCTTCCAGAGATTCTTCGTAGCCTTTTGTGAAGAAATTGAATGCTTTAGCAGCTCTCCGAGGTGTTTTGAGCAAGCCTTCTCTGGTGGGGTCCTCTCCAACTCCTTGGAGGATAGAAACTACAGCAGACTCCATGTTTTTAAGCCTTTCAACTTTGTCCTCTTCGTCCTTTGCTCTTTGCTCAACAATTGGCAAGTCGTCTTCAGAAAGCGACTGAAGTTTCTGATCTAATTCTCCTTTGGCGGACGCCATTTTAAATGATGTCAGATGTCGGAAGGTCTTGCAAATTGTGTTACGAATGGGAAAATTGTGCTTCGATTATAATATATACCTTTTGTGATGAAATATCCTTTATATTTCTCAGTAGGTGTCAATTATTAAATATTTGAATACATCGATACCGGACTCTGTCGGAATGAGCTGTTTATTGAACGTTGATAACCGGAGCCGGGTAGAACTATTCCATTTGTTGTTTATATTCGGAGTTTAATAATTGCGACTATTTCCCGTGTATATTAGAACTGTTTTCATATTGTGGTGGTAGCTGATTATTGACGGATATGCGTTGTCTATTGTGGTTATCCATTAGGTCATCAGAGGGATAATTATATACTAGGAGTAACTATTTATAAATATGTAAATTTTTACATGTAATTCGACTAATTCCTGATGCAAATTTATTCCTGACGTAGATGATATAAATAATATTTAATTTCTGACGACATCAGAGAGAATATAATTATATATATAAAAAACATGTCGATATATTTAATTCCTGACGCAAATTTAATTCCTGACAAAAAGGAGTTCGTCACAAATAGTTTGCCAAAACAATAGGCAAAAATATATTGAAGTAAATGTCTTTGTTTTTCTGTAGTTACTAAGTACTGTAATTATCTGCATTTGGTAAGTATGTAATCCATTTTTTCAATTTTATTATATTCGGCGTTTAATTAATTGCGACTGTTTCCCGTGTAAATTACGAACAGTTTTCATTCGTGACGAGAGTAGGTGATTATTGACGGATATGCGTTGTCTACTGTGGTTATACTGAGGGAATAGAATTATATACTAGAAGTTACCGCTATTTATAATATGTAAATATGTGAAATATTTAATTGATGTGCAAATTGAATTCCTGACGCAAATTGAATTCCTGATTAAATTTAAACAGGTTACTGAGTAAAAACAATGTATTTTTTCATTCAAATCAACATTTCTCGTTATATATACCTAACTTTCTGAAAATGTATTACGCATGTACATATTTATAAAGCTGAGATATTGCCTCTATCTTGGTTACCTTCACAGTTTCATTATCTTCGGAAAAATCACTATAAAATCAACTAGAACGATTGTGTATATGTGCCTCGTTCAGTGCACCGAACAGAATACCAGGGTTCTTGCGCGATCCTTCTATAAGTACCAAATTCCAACTTAACTATTGACATATATTACAGGTAAGTGTGGCATGCCATTGGATGTGCGCTCGATTCGTTATAATCGCATACCTAATAAATGTAATACTATGTATATGAAACGCGAAGAGTGCTCAATACCATAAAGATAGAGCAAATATAGAATTTCGCTTATATATATATATATATATATATATATATACATATATATATATATATATATATATATATATATATATATATATATATATATATATATATATATATATAGTAATATAGGCCCTATATATATATATAGGCCCTATATATATATATATATATATATATATATATATATATATATATAGGCCCTATATATATACACTGGATCCAGAAAAGTTTGACCTTCGAATATATATATATGTCGGCCATTTTGAATTTTCTTGGGTTAATTATACGCGAACGCATACATCAAATGTCGCTCGCAACGTATTGTATATTGTCCAACAGCTCAAATGAATAAAAGAATCATTCATTGATGTCTTTGCACATAATCATAATGGCTAGTAGGAAATGAACATTTGGAAATGAACATAATGGCTAGTAGGAAATGAACGTTTCTGCTTCGCCAGGTCACGAATGCTGCGTGTGCTGAGTTTCAGGGGATGAAATATCGAATGACTATCGATTCCGTTAAAATTTCCGTTGGCAAAATATAATA